GTGATCGGCGAGTTTCCCTTGAACTGGGAAATATTCACCTAGAGGCGACCTTCATATCTAGTCATCACCATGTCTCGCCGTAAACCAGATATCGAGGCTACTGAGCCCACCGTCTCATCTTCAGGCAGCAGCAAGTCCGATTTCAACACAGCACAACATAATGAACATACCGGCTCGCAACACCGACAAGCATCTGTCGCTGCCAAACTTCGCAACCCTTTAGCGGGTCTCAGTGAGGAACAGGTTCTGGCTGATGTCGAAGCCTGGTGTACAGAGAAAGGACTCCAAGACGACCTTGATTCCTTCCGCAAGGGTGCACTGATCGCTCGAGTGGGCCAGCGCGAGGATGGGTTTGAATACGTGAACTCCCTTTCAGAAGAAGAAAAGGACATCCTCAGACGCGAGACTTCTCATCGATGGTCGCAGCCATTAATGTTGTACTTCCTGGTCATTCTCTGTGCTGGTTCTGCTATCGTGCAAGGAATGGATCAAACAGCCGTGAACGGCGCTCAGGTCCGTCAATTCACTCACATTCTTGTTGCTACCTTCCTCGGCTGATCATACTGCAGGGATTCTATTTCCGGGAGTTCAACATCTCCGCAGATCAAGTATGGCTCCGTGGCTTACTCAACGGCGCTCCATACCTCTGCTCTGCGGCTATCGGCTGCTGGTCCAATGCGCCACTGAACAAGTACTTTGGTCGCCGGGGTACCATTTTCATCTCATGCATCATATCTTTCATTACAGGTATCTGGATGGCGGTTTGCGAGAGCTGTAAGTCATCTATGTACAACCGTGTTCGATTCATGCACTAACAATCACAAAAAGGGCCAAACCTTCTCGCCGCTCGATTCATGCTGGGCTTCGCTGTCGGCGCAAAGTCTTCAACCACTCCCGTCTACGCCGCAGAGTCTGCACCGAAGACTATCCGTGGAGCTTTGACGATGATGTGGCAGATGTGGACTGCTTTTGGAATCATGCTCGGTTTTGTCGTCTCCGTTGCGTTCCACAATGTAACTATCATTGGGGGACCGAATTCGCCATGGAGGTGGATGTTGGCCAGCACCAGCATACCTCCGATGATCGTCTGCGTCCAAGTCTATTTCTGTCCAGAATCGCCGCGCTGGTACGTATCGTCTCTTTGAATATGGGATTACAACAAGTATTAACAGCGTCAAGGTACATGGAAAAAGGAAAATTCGACAGAGCCTTCCAGTCTCTCTGCCGCCTCCGCTGGAACAAGATACAAGCAGCACGCGACATGTACTACGCGTACAAGCTCCTCGAGATTGAAAATGCACAACGTGAGGGCAGGAACCCAGTTCGAGAATTCTTCCTGGTTCGTCGTAACCGACGTGCTGCTCAGAGCGCTTTCTTCGTCATGTTCATGCAACAATTCTGCGGAGTAAACGTACGTCACTCCCCCAACTTTTCACCAGAAGGAATTGCTAAAATGGTTTTCCTCAGGTCATCGCTTACTACAGTACTTCCATCTTCCAATCTGCCGGCTTCAGTGAATCAGAAGCACTGCTGACGTCCATGGGCACGGGTATAACAAACTGGCTCTTCGCCATCCCCGCCATCTACACCATCGACACATTTGGTCGCCGCAATCTCCTACTAACCACATTCCCACTAATGGGAATTTGTCTGCTCTGGTGCGGCTTATCGTTTTACCTTCCTAATAACCCAGATGGCACACCAACACAAGGCCGTCTCGCATCCATCGCAGCTGCCATTTATACCTGTAAGTTCAGTCCCTCTACATTGCACTCTCTACCAAGCAGCACCACTAATCCTTCCCCACAGTCATGGCCGTCTACTCCCCCGGTGAAGGTCCCGTCCCCTTCACCTACTCCGCCGAAGCCTTCCCTCTGCACCTCCGCGACGTCGGCATGTCCTTCGCCACCGCCACCTGCTGGGGCTTCAACTTCATCCTCTCGCTCACCTGGCCCGCTCTCGAAGCCGCCTTCACCCCCACCGGCGCCTTTTGCTGGTACGCCGGCTGGAACTTTTTCGGCTTCTTCTACGCATACTTCCTGCTCCCTGAAACGAAAGCGCTAACCCTTGAAGAACTGGATACGGTGTTTGATGTGGGGAATCGACAGTTTTCAGCGTATTATAGGAGGAAGTTGCCCTGGTATCTTAAGAAACATGTGCTGAGGAGGAATGTGGAGCCAATGGAGCCGCTGTTTGATTTACACGCGGAGGGTTCGAGGCAGGATTTTGCGGATGAGAGGGTTGGTGGGGTGGGGGATGCGGAGGTTAGGGAGAAGGGTACGGAGAATAAGATTTGAAGATCGGTTTTGGTGTGTTGAATGTAGGTGAAGGTGGTTGGGGCTGGCCGGTAATGGCAGTGAGAAGGGGAGTTTTGTTCTACGCTGCAGATACTCGGAAGTAGTTTTTTAATGCAATATACCCATTCTTGTATCTATGAAATCCGCCATGACTTTTGGAACCCTTTCATCGCTAAAAAAAATGAATGTCAATGAATGGACGCAAGTGATCTTATTCATACGCTCCTTTCCCATAATATTCGAGCGAAAATTCACAAAGATTCAACAATTCAGATCTTTTTCCTTCTTTTGGTACTGCAAATCGAAAATCAAGATTTTTCGGGGGGGGACGGGGTTTCAGTTATTAATTAATTTGAAATTTGCTAGTTATATGGTTTCGATTTCTAGAAGTTAACTAAAGGATTACTATAAAACGAGTTTCATGAAATTATCTACCAAAGCCACCATGCCTACTTTCAGGATATCTTCTTCACTTTCCGTAGTACAGCCAGAAACAGTTAAATCTTAGACAAGCCTAGATGAAATTACACTCTAATCAATTTATTTTTCATCAATGTTCATCATCTAACTATAAAATCTATGTTCTAAACTTGAAACGAGTAGTTTTTCTTCTCTGTAATTCGCATATCTGGTTCTTACTTTCACCATGCTTGACAAAGAAAGAATAGGGCTGACGAGATATCAAAAATGAAGTGAATTTTCCAAAGACAGGGACAATAATGATGAGATTGATCTATTCGTTTGAACCAGATACCATAGACTGGGATACAGCCTCTCCTCGCCTAATCGATATCATTGAACGATTTCTTCTTCTTGGTCTCTAACCAAGTACTCTAACATTACTTTGTCCTAGACTTTTCACGGCCTTCGCGTGGGCGATTGCGATGTTTGTGCCGATCCCGATCCCAATCCCGGTCTCGGTCTTCACTTCTGCTACGACTCCGTCGCCTCTCACTGCGATGTGAAGATTTATGATGGTGTCGGTCCCGGCTACGGCTCCGACTTCTCTGGTGGTGCTTGTGTCGTGAAGAAGCAGAGTCGCGATCACGGGTTTTGTCATCATGGTCGTCTTTTCTTTTCCGCTTGTGATGTCTGCTCCTACTCTCTTCCTGCTCTTGTGTCATTCGCAGCTCGCGCAACTCTCTATCGCGGTCCTCGGCCCATAGCTTTTTGTCGCGTTTGGCCTTCTTTAGCTGGGCTTGGGCTTGTTGCATGAAAGCAAAAGGGTCGTTGGATGATATACGTGCTTGCTCCCTCTCCTTGCGCCGCGGATCTTCGTTGCCCCAGACATCCTTGTTCACGAAACCTTCGTATGCTGCTACATCGCGTGTGCTGTCTGGGTCATTCCCATCATCCCGCGACAGTTTCTGCTGAGCCGCGTACCAGGGCTGCTCTATTCCTCCTCTTCCAGCAGCATTCGAGAAGCGCATGGTGTATTGGTCTTCCAATGCCCTTTCCTTTTTGCGCTTCTCCTTTTCTACTTCGGCGTTCTTTTCGCGCTTGAGAGCCTCCTTCATATCGACGGGGAACAAGTCGATGTGGCCGGCATGGTCGTGCAGAGGAGCATCGATCGCCGTGCTTCGTAGTTTCAAGACCTTAGCATCGAGCTTGTCATCGTCGTGCGGAGCTGTGATGGACTTGGCCAAGCGGATATCCATGTCGGTGTCATCCTCACCAGCAAGCTTCCTCCTCTTTGGGCCATATCCGCGCTCGTCTCTGTTGTTCGAAGCCCGCGCATCTGAGTGCTTGGGTGAGGCTTCCTCGGGAAGTGGTGGAGGCGTTTCACCGCGTAGAATGGCAGCGCGTCGCTGGGCATCGAGCTCTTGCATGCGCTGCTCATGGGCAGCTTCACGGGCGCCAGCTGCAGCCTCGTCGGCCTTGACGCGCGCTACATTGTCGGCGTTGTAGACGTTCCATGACTAGGGGATAGGTTAGGGCTGGGTTGCTACGAATCAAGAGTTGCATCGCATACCTTCTTGCCCAGTAGGTGACTGTATGCTTGTTAGGACGTCCAGCGTAATCGGGCGCAAAGGGGACAAGGACGTACAGAGGCATGATGCCACGTCCGGATGGATGGTGTGGAGTGGATATGGTTCAGGCTGGTGTTTCCATGACGCCATGCACAGAGCATGCAGTGTTCTGTATGATCATCTGTCCCTAGTCTGTATATTTACCATCGGGAGCGACGTTGCATTAGCGTGGGCGGGGCTGGACGGAGGCTTGCAATGGATCGTCGCAAGCTCTCCTGATCCCAGTGCTAGTCCCGACTTCCCCCCGCAACCCTCTCGGCACAGCAACCGTGAATGTACAGACTGGCACACTGTGCAAACCCAATCGGGGCCCATTGCCCTTATCATGGTTCGATTTATTGCCAGGTCACCGTGCCGTCTCATCTCGCATTCGCTGCCTCTTTCCTTTTCCTAGCGCGCATATTCGTACAGTCAAGTCGCCCACGGTCGACAGACTTTGTCTAGACCACGCCAAAACCCTCTCCTCGGAACTTGACCCTGGCTTGCAAACAATCATGTACGACCTGTTCGCCAGAGGCTGTTGAGTGCTTTGTCTACCATGTCTGTCCATGCTTACTTGCATCAACACTCCGAATTCTGCCGCTTCTTCCAAACCCACTTTTCAACACCCACTCTCTCGTCCACAGCACGTTTGCCTTTCAAGTTGCGACACGGCTGCGTATAGTGTCCCGACATGCCCACCTGGCTTGTACATGGGTTCCGGTGGCCGCGTGCACAGATTCGCATACACATCATTCTCCAGAACCTCGACGATGCCGCCCCGGAGTGGCTCATGGCCCCTGCGACAGTTGCTTGTATGACGAAGAACTTCAAGGATCAATGGCCAGAAACAATGGCCAAGCTGCCGAACCTGCAATTCATTGAGCAGTACGACCCTGACGACTTTACTGTCAAAGACCAGCCCCACGCATACGTCTGTGACATTGTGCACGAAATTAAGCTTGGGGTAGATATAGAAGAAGTCCAGGGTGCTGAAATAACCGACGACCAGCGCGCCGCCATCACTGAGCTGCGGGACAAGGTTGCGCCAGGGGAAAAGCTGGCCTGGTTCGTAGTAGTCAATGGCGATGTCGAAAGGTGGGCTCCACCGCTCGAGGATGATGACGCCACACCAGAGGCTAGCCAGCTCAGCCCGCACAGCCAGGCGAGTAGTGTATTGCAGTCGGATATATCCCCTGCCCCAGAGCCCGAACGGCCATCCACAAGTCGGAGTCTGAAGAAGTGGTTCGGAGGAAAGCTGAGAAAAACGAAAAGGCAAGATCAATGCACTTCCTATCTACTTGCGTACTGATGCGTTGTAGTGGGCGGTCCCTGAGGGGCGATGCAGTAGCTGCGGCTGAGGAGCCAGCTCCACCACTACCACCCATCTCTCCACGCCATGCCCTCCACGCTGCCAACGGGAAAGCGCCGGAACCTCAAACTGCTGCTCCTTGAGCGAGGACGGACATGATTGGCAAAACTACGCTTCAGAAATATGTGTGAAGTACTACTGAGCGCAAGTTTAGTTGGACCATCATGGGAATGCACATTACGATATTGTGGAGATCGTGTAAAGGAACTTGGTATATGATGAAGCATGAGCATTACGATCATGCACTACTTTTGGAACCAAAGATGTCCTCTTCTAGCTCATACGATCTGATTCGGAAGGTAGATATTGTAATATATCTTAGTTTCTGATTTTAATTGATCGCATGTGAAGAACCAGCCTGTCGCAAACATACCTTTCGGGCTAGCGTGGCTGGAGCGGTGCACTCACGTGATGCGCGTCGACCTAGTCTCAAATTATTATCGACGTCGCGTCACCTCAACGCCGCTTCCAACACCAAACTTAGCAATTACACACAACTCTGCGTCAGACAGCTGCACTGGTACCGGAAAGCTCGGCGACCATCTTTCCACGTCTTCCAGGTGTTTCACGGCCAGACTGCAGTGGTCTTTGGCGCATTCTGCGCATATATCCAGCCCGGAGCCCAATAACTATTTCTTTCGGAGAGCTGCACAAATACCGCCACCATGAGTCGACGCGACTTCTTGTCGATGCCCGCGCCCGAGAACTATGTGGCTGGATTGGGTAGAGGAGCGACGGGTTTCACAACCCGAAGCGATCTCGGTCCAGCCCGTGAGGGTCCGTCTGAGGAGCAGATGAAGGAGATGCTAGCAAAGCGCGCCGCATCGCTAGGCCAAGCCGCCCCATCTGCGTACGGTGTTACTGAGAAGAAGGACGAAGAGAGGGACGAAGATGAAGACCGGTTCCAGGACCCTGATAACGAAGTCGGCCTCTTCTCGAGTGGTATGAACTACGACAAGGAGGATGACGAGGCAGATCGCATATACCAAGAAGTTGATGAGAAGATGGACAAGCGTCGCAGAGCCAGAAGGTTGGTACATCCTGTTTCTTTTCCACTGCCCTTCCCCTCTATCTTTATTGTCGAAGTATTCATCGTGTTTTTTTCCACGAACAGATACCGATTGTGTCCGCCGTAGGGAAGCCCGCGAACAGAAAGAACGCGAAGAATACGAAAGAAACAACCCCAAGATCCAACTCCAATTCGCCGATTTAAAACGTGCCCTCGGTGGCGTTTCCGAAGAAGAATGGGCAGCCTTGCCCGAGGTTGGAGATATGACGGGTAAAGCCAAGCGTGCGCGTGAAGCCCGCATGGCTAACGCCAGATCCTATGCAGTCCCAGATAGCGTTCTGGCTGCCGCATCCAAGAGTGGCGAACTCGATACATCGATATCCACGGGAGACGCCGACGGCATGACCACCAATCTCGCAAGTATTGGTGCAGCTCAACTTTCCGCCCTCACAGTACGACTCGACTCAGCAGCCAGTGCACCCGGTGCCCAGACATCGACAACTTCTGGTACGGCAACATCAGTAGACCCCAAGGGATATATGACTGCCCTAAGCAAGAAAGAAGCCATGGGTGAAGAGGTACCGGTCGAGGACATTAATCGGGCGCGTGTGCTTTTAGAGTCTGCCGTCAAGACCAACGTACACAACGGACCTGGATATGTTGCGCTAGCACGATTGGAAGAGGTAGCTGGAAAGATCCACACTGCTAAGAAGGTCATTGCCCGAGGTTGTGAGCTTTGCCCTCGATCTGTCGTAGTCTGGGAGGAAGCGATTCGGTTGAACCGTGACAACCTGCACAACGCAAAGGTCATTGCGGCAAATGGTATCAAGCAAAACACAAAGGCCGTGAAGCTGTGGCAAGCAGCCATCGACCTAGAGCAGACACCTGCGGCGCGAAAGAAGGTTACTCGGCAGGCTTTGGATCACAACCCTCAGAGTGTAGAACTGTGGAAAACACTGATCAACGATACGGAGGAGCTTGACGCTGTACGCCTTTTGTTCGCCAAAGCAACCGAGACTGTTCCGCTGTCTGAAGAGTTGTGGATCTCGTATGCGCGTGTATCAGAACCAGAGGCTGCACAGCAGATTCTCAACAAAGCCCGCAAAGCCATTCCCACCAGTTGGGCCATTTGGATACACGCCTGTAGACTTCAGGAGGAGCTAGGAAAGGTGGAAATGCTGGACACGATCATGACTCGAGCTGTGAAGTCTCTCATCAAAGAGAATGCTATGATTAAGCGAGAGGAGTGGATCACGCAGGCAGAAATCTGCGAAGAGCAAGGCGACAAGGGCACAGCAACTGCTATTATCAAGGCAACTGTTGGATGGGGCCTTGACGAAGACGATGAACGCCGAGACATCTGGCTGGAGGATGCGAGAAGCGTCTTGAACCGAAATAAGCCAGAGACGGCCAGGGCTATTCTAGGATTCGCTGTTGCCGTATTCCCCTACAGCACAACCATTTGGCATGCATTTGCCGACCTGGAGAAGCACCACGGTACCATGGACTCACTCCTTAGCGTACTTGAACGGGCAGTCAATGCTTGCCCCACATCAGAATCGCTTTGGTTGCTTTATGCTCGAGAAATGTGGCAATCAGGCGACCCTGAAGGAGCTCGCAAGGTGCTGGGCCGAAGTTTTGAGGCGCTCCCCGGTAATGAAATGCTTTACACACGTGCGGTCGACTTTGAGGTGGATGCCGGCAACTATGAACAGGCGCGTAGCTTCCTGCAAGTAGCGCGTGAATCTGCAGCTACAGACCGCATCTACATGAAGTCCGCGGTTCTTGAACGACAACTAGGAAACTTTGAGATGGCCATCGACATTTGCAACCAGGGATTACAAAACTGGCCAGGCAGCTGGAAACTCCACGCAATCAAGGGCCAAGTTTATGAGCAGCTCTCGAAACTCCCCGAAGCTCACGAAGCCTTCAACATCGGCACCCGAGCCGCCCCCAAAGCCCCCGTCCTCTTCATCCTCCTCTCCCGCCTCCAAGCCAAACAAGGCGCCATCGTCAAAGCCCGCTCAACCCTCGACCGCGGTCGCCAGCAAAACCCCAAATCCGAGCACATCCTCCTCGAGCAAGTGCGCCTCGAGCGCCGCCAAAACAACATCAGCGCAGCCCAGCAACTCATGGCCTCCGCCCTGCAACAATGCCCCAAATCCGGTCTCCTCTGGGCAGAAAAAATCATGCACCTCGAATCCCGCACGCAGCGCAAGCCCCGCGCCCTCGAAGCCATCAAGAAAGTCGAAAAAGACGCCTTACTCTTCTGCGTCGTCGGCCGCATCTTCTGGGCTGAGCGCCGCCTCGATAAAGCAGCGACCTGGTTCGTTAAAGCCGTCACTCATGATAGCGATTTCGGCGATGCGTGGGTGTGGTATTACAAGTTTTTGCTACAACATGGTACCGAGGAGAAATTGCAGGATACGCTGGCCAAAGCGGCGTTGGCGGAGCCGAGGCATGGTGAGATTTGGCAGAGTGTTGCAAAGGATCCGAAGAATGCGAGGAAGAGTGTTGAAGAGATTTTGAAGTTGGCGGCGGAGGTGGCGGAGTAGAAGGGAGGTCGAGGTTGGCTGTGTAGATGTGATAGCTTTTGCACTTGTACGGGTTATGGAATTCTGGCACTCTTAGGAAAGGGATGGAGTAAGATCTTTGTATCAATGGGGAAGTGCAAGGACTTGGGGATCTCAGTTATAAATGTAATACTGAGGAAATTAAGTGAACCCATATTCAAAACTGTTCATTTGTACAAAAGTTCATGTTCCTTTTTTTTTAGCATTCCCACTCTACTCATTACTTCTTCACCTCACCCTCTACCTCTACGCTCTCTCCCTCTCCCTCCTCAACAAACATAGTCTCCTGCGCACTCCACAATTCACTATACAACCCACTCCGATCAATAAGCTGCTGATGCGTCCCACTCTCAGCGACCCCACCCTCGCTTAACACGATAATAACATCAGAGTCGTAGATTGTGCGAAGACGATGCGCCACAAACACCGATGTCCGCTTCTTTTCTCTCACGAGAGAGTTGATGTGGGAGAGGAGTGCTTGCTCGGTGTGGGTATCTAGCGCTGACGTCTATTGTTTTATTTTGTTAGTTCATAGAAGGCGGGTGGGGGGAAGTAGAGGGCAACATACAGCTTCATCGAAAAACAAAAGCGGCGGATCTTTCAAGACCAATCGCGCAATGGCGAGTCTCTGTTTCTCACCTCCGCTAATCATCATGCCGCGCTCGCCGACCATGGTGTTGTAGCCATCGGGGAACCGAGCGATAGTCTCGTCGATACGGGCGCGTCGCGCTGCTTCGATGACTTGGTCTTGAGTGGCGTCTAGATTGCCGTAGTGGATGTTGTGCTGGATGGTGTTGTTGAAAAGAGGCGTGTCTTGAGGTACTACTCCGATTGCGCGGCGAAGACTCTCTAGGTTGACGTCGCGGATATCCTGGCCGTCTATCAGAATACGACCTTCCTGTGGATCATAGTAGCGGAAGAGCAGGCGGAGGATTGTGGATTTTCCGCAGCCGCTGGGACCGACGATGGCGACTTTTTTGCCGGCGGGGATGGTCAGAGTGAGGTTCTTAATGATGGGACGGTCGGGACGGTAGCCAAAGGAGACATTTTCGAATTTGATTTCGCCCGTCTTGAGGACGAGTGGGGGAGCGTTGGGCTTGTCTTTGACAGTGACGTTGACCTTTTGCAGGTTGAAGAGAGTTTCCATGTCGAGCAGGCTCTGGCGGAGTTCACGGTACATGGAACCGAGGAAGTTGAGGGGGACGGAGAGTTGGAAGACGAGTTGGTTGACCATGACAAGGTCGCCAACGGTGAGTTGTCCGGTTGCGACGCCGTTGGCAGCGAGATACATCATGGCAGTCAGAGCAGAGGAGAAGATAATGTTTTGACCCGAGTTGAGGAAGGCCAGGGAAGTGGCGACCTTGATAGAGGCCTTTTCATAGTCCTGAAGGGCCTTGTCATAACGCTTGACTTCATGCTTTTCATTGTTGAAGTACTATACACATTAATAGAGAATACTACAAAACTTGTTCAGGAGAAATACCTTGACAGCTTCATAGTTGATCATGGAGTCGACTGCAACAGTAGCTGCCTTGTTATCAGCAGCATTGGCCTGTTTCCTAAACTTTGTTCTCCACGAAGTGGTCATGATGGTAAAGACAGAGTAAGCAGTCATTGTAGTGCCGGTGATGAGGGCAAATTGCCAGCCGTATTGGTATGTTAGAATGCCGCATACAAGCGAGATTTCGAGTGCAGTGGGGAATATGTGAAAGACCATAGCAGTCAGTAAGAAACTGATGCCCTTTGTACCACGATCAATGGCCCTTGTGAGGCCTCCTGTTTGCCTTGATAAATGGAAACTCAGATCCAGCCTTAGTAGATGTTCATAGACACTGCAGGCCACTTTGCGAATGGCCTTTTGAGCAACACTGGCAAAGACGGCGTTTCGCAGTTCTTGGGATACAGTTGCACCGATACGGGTCAAGCCGTCTGGTCGTAGTCTCAGCCAAAATGGGACGAGTATGCATTGCTGGGTCTAGCTTACAAGCGATAATCATCGAGCCTGCTACGGTAGTCGCGGTACCGCCTACAGCAGCAAAATCTATGTTCATGGCGTCTACAATGCTCTTGAAATAGAAGGGGACCTGCACGTTGAGCAGCTTTGCGCCAACCAGCAACCCTACACTCAGCCCAACCCTGAATCTAGTGCCCATGTTGTCCTTTGGCCACAGATACTGCGACATTTCCTTGATAATGGCCCAGTCAGCTTTGCGCTGTTCCTTGTTGGTCAAGACCTGTTCTTGAAGCAACGGATCTGCCTTTGCGACTTTTGCTTTCGCAGCCGTAGCATTGGCTGCGGGCTTGGTAGCCTCGAGTGCAGGCTGAGAGCCCGGCTTTGGCCGCTCGCCATGAGCATCTTTTCTATGAAGAGGAGACGAGGTGAAGACGCGGATGCCGTGGTGTACAGGATGAAGGCGCAGCGTGGATGCGTGAAGACCCGGCCGACAGGCGGCGCGGGCAAGAGGTGGAATTAACATGACAGCAGTGACATGTTAGACACGCCTGGAGCAAAGAAAAGGAACAAGAAATCTGCGCGTGTGTTCAATTGCTTGAACAAAAAGTGGCGGAAGAGAGGAAGACGAGCACGTCATATGAGAGTACCTGGAGAAGCCCACCCGACATGGATGCAGCCCATCCCACCTTGTCTAGCGCGTTTGCGGCGGGCGGGCGGGCGAGCTTGCATCATAACGACTAATTAATTCCGGCCGATACTGCTAATAATAATAATAATAACTGCCATTGCGGTTACTACTACTCCTTCAACAAACCATCTCGACACCCACACATACACGCCAATTGCCCGGCACAGCCATGCTACGATCGGCTGCCTCGCCCTGGGCGAACCTGGCCCGCACATGCACACCCACTGGTCGCCCATCAATTGCGGCGCGATGCATCAACATCTCGGCCACCAGCCCGTCACCAGAACCAAGCCTGCAGCAGGCAGTCAGTGTTGAGGGCACCGCCACGCCCATGCACACGCCCGGTATGCATTTCTCTGTGGCCTTAGCGAGGCGACCCTGCTAAAATATTCGGCCTGCGCAGACGCCCGCTTCGACGTCATCGGCACACCCTTCTCCCTCCTCTCCGTCTCCCTCTCGGCCTCGCAGACGCTCTACACCCGCCGCGGTACCCTCGTCGGCCTCAGCGGCAAGTCGGAAAACACTCTCTCCACCCTGTCTGTCCTCGAGCCTTTTCAGCGCGCGCCCGTCGGCATTCCATTCCTCTATCAAAAAGTGTCGTCAACCAGCCCCGTCACGGCCCTCATCTCCACCAAAACTCCCATATCGAGCATTGTCTCAGTAAACCTAGACGGAAGGGATGACTGGATTATCAGCCAAAGACAGGCGCTGCTTGCGTGGACTGGCCTCACATTGAAGCTGAAGCCGCAATACAATGTCAAGCTCGGCCTGGCACATTGGGGAAACACATACATCACAGGCAGGGGCCTACTCGCATTGACAGGAAACGGCCAGATCTACCAGGTCCACGTCAAGGCTGGTGAGAGCTACGTAGCCCACCCCAGGTATGCCGCCTTTGCCTGAACAACCGCCCACCCACCATCTTTGACTAACCCCACTACGCAGCAACGTGGTAGCATACACAGCCTCCAACGCCCCACCCGTCCCCTTCCGCTTCAAGTCGTCGAATGTGCGATTCCAAGTTCCAGACCTGGGCTTCGGCTCGCTGGTGCAGAACACTCAGTTTTTCCGAACAATGAGCAAGACGGCTACATGGCGCGCGCTAGCCACTACATACCACACCCTCAAGACATGGATGCGGAGGACAGTCTGGGGAGACAGGGTGCGTTGAACACATGACCTACAGTATTTACTCACATACTGACTAACATTACCCAGCTCTTCCTCCGTTTCGAGGGCCCAACAACCATGCTCGTCCAGTCGCGTGCTTCACGCATCAGCGACGTTCTCACACTACGAGACGTCGATGAGATTGCCGACAGCCCGCCTGGCGCGGTCGAAGACGCCGTGACAAGGAAGATCAAGGAGGAAATCAAGTCTATTGGCGAACAAGGCACAAAGGCACCCATACCAAACACGGATGCATCTGGCACAGTGAGATATGCCACTATCAAGGATGGCAAGGCCGAGTTCGAGAAGCCATCTGTATAAATCCAGCAAGCTGAAACCTCTCCTCTTTACATACATACCCTTTTTTGCAACTGAGTCTCATTTAAGCAAGAACACATACACAATAAATATCAAACATCCTGGTGCAAAAAAAAAGAATTTCCATTGCCATTGCCAGTCATCTACCCTTCTACTTCGCCTTTCCAGCCGCCTTCTCCCTAATCCTTTCTTCCTTCTCAAACTTTTGCTCAAAGATCCTGAAAAACAAGCCTATCCACTCTTGCTCACGGTGGCTTAATTGTCTCGCAGGATTCTTCCAGCTACCCGCTAAGATCTCCTTGACTCTGCGCCTAAGCACTTTCAAGCCCACGGCAACCCGCCAATCCCTTACCGAGAACCTGACTACGTTGCCCGGTAGACTTATCACGCCAGCGTGCAGTTTGAAGTCGAGATCCGCAGCGACCATGAGGACCATGGCGAAGGGATACGCAATGGATGTCGAGTGAGCGTTGTAGAACTTATTGCTGGACTGCATGATGTGGTAGTAGGATAGGAAATGCGCAGTTGACGATCCCTTGTTGACAGATGTGGGTGCGAGGCTGACGGTCTGGTTGTTGGATATGTTGCGCCATCCCTTGCCCTCGCGCGTTAGTATCTTGGGGTAAAAGGCCGTTGCGATGACGGAGTTGACGAGGAGGTCGTTGTCTGAGTAGGTGTCATATTGGGGTGGTACTTCGACGAATACGCGGTGGCGCGGTGTGCTTCTGTAGCGGTTCAGGGCTCGGCGTTCGTCTTGCGTCATTTGTATGAAGCCTGCTTCTACGAGGGATGAGAGAAGCTGTGCTTTGAGATCCTCGATGTTGCCTAGGTTCTGGGCGCTGAGGAAATTCTTATGGCAGAATTGCATTTCTGATCGGCCGGCAGTTGTGCATACTAATTTCCAGGCTTTGTAGGCATTGTATGTTGTCAGTAGGTCCGAGTCGCCTTTCTTGAATCCAAGTCGAGCGATATCAGCACGCTGCTTTGCTCCGAAAGGTGTCACAAAGGGAGACTTGGAAGAAAGAATTGCAGCAATGGTGATGGCAACGTCGACACAGCCAAAAGTACAAGCTAGCAACACGAGTTTGCCTAGGTGTGCATCTAATGGAAGCTTTGCAATTTGGCGACCAAGCGGGGTGAGCTCTTCACTTGGTGTGAGCGCGTCAACCTCCACAAGTGCATCAATGGCACGCCGGATGTTCTTAGACGTGGGTGGGTCGAGCGCCTGAGCAAGTGTTGCCTCAATATCTCCCAACTTGCAAATCTTAACACGCATAACTAAATCTTGCAGTGACAGTCTCAGCATCTCCGGCGTCTGTTGTTCAGCCATCAGGTTATCATGACGGTATTTCGTAAACAGGTGGAAGCATAATCCCTCCTGAACACGGCCTGCACGGCCACGGCGCTGCTTCGCATTGGCTCTTGAGATGAAAGATTGCGTCAGATGTGAGAGCTGCCTCCGTTCGTCAAATCTCATCTCCTTGTGCTTGCCAACGTCGATGACACAGGTAATGTCCGGGATCGTTACTCCAGTTTCTGCAATATTTGTCGCGAGCACAATCTTGCGCACACCCGGTGGAGGAATCAAAAATGCAGCCTGCTGATCCTCACTTGAGATGGTAGAGTGCAACGGATACACATACCAATCAGCTTTGAACGAAGGGTGGCCAGCCAGAATATCGTTCAGTTGGCGGATTTCGGCAATACCTGGAAGGAACACAAGAATGGCGCTGCTAAAGCGGCTCAGTTGCGGGTCGTAGGCAACGGTTTCAATAAGTCTGGTAATCAAATCGTAATCAATGGCGTATTCGTCGTAATTCGAGAGCACATTGCGCGTTGCAGCACTGTAACCAGGGAGTTTGTTAGGAATGCCGGATTTGTCACTTGTGACTTCGTCATCCTCGTCGTTGTCGCTGGTAGTAGTGTTGGTGTTCTGCTCAGATGCCCCCGTATAGTGCGTCAGTTCGATAGCATCCTCGAGGTATCGTGTCTGTACTGGAAATGTACGACCAGGCACTGTTAGAATGGGTGCGTCGTTGAGGTATCGGGAGAATTTGGCGGCGTCAACGGTAGCACTCATCAATATCACCTTCAATTCAGGCCGACGTACCATCAGCGACCGCAGAATAACAAGGAGAAAGTCTGTGTCAATAGACCTTTCATGGACCTCATCAATGATCAGATGCGTAACCTCTTGTAAAGCTCCTGAAGACTCCAACATGCGAAGTACAACACCTACAGTTGCGTACACTAGACGAGTTTGTGATGACATCTTAGACTCGAGTCGGATTGCGTAACCGACAAGTGAGCGCATAGTACCAAGATCTTTCGGCCCCTCGCCCAGCTCCTCGCTCACACGTTGCGCAAGCGAAATGGCGGAGATTCGTCTGGGTTCGGTACAGTAGACTTTGCATGCCTTGCCTTGTGCAAGCTCGTGCTCGAGAACAAACGCCGGAATTTGCGTGCTCTTTCCACACCCAGTCTCACCGCAAATTATGGTGACTTGGTTCTTGTCCACCGTTGACAGAATGGACTCCTTGAAACCAAAGACCGGAAGGTTTGATCGGCCGACAAGCATGTGTTGATATGAAGTAGTAGAGGTTTTGGCAGCCCATAGATCCCTTAGACTTTCGTGTTGGCGTATTGGCGTGTTGTACCCCGAGTTTGATCCACTAGAGCCTGTAGCGGCCTGGTTACGCATCTTGAAGCGATTTGTGAAAACAACACCATCCGACTCTTCATTTTCAACTTGATCCTGGACGAATGAACGGTAGCGCTTTATGGCATCGCGATCTGCAGCATCCAGACGCGTCTTTCGACTTTCGAGAAATTCTCTATAAAGTTCTCTCCAGTTTGGTGGCAGTCGTAGATGGACCTTTTCGTCCTTCGGCGAGGCGGCAGAGATGGAGAAAAGTGCAACAACTGAGATGTAGCTCTCACTTTGCTCAACGGACACGGTTGCAAGGTCGATTGCTGCGAATGTAATTTGCCCTCTATAAGGAGTCACAGTCACTCCAGCAATTTCGGTGTCGTATTCGACATCAACATCCTTTGACCAAATGATAGTAAGTGAATGTCGGCAAGTGTACATAGTAGGTGAGATGACTGCATACGACAAACTCGCACCAGAGTCCCTAACGATGTTTAGTTGATATGCTCAAAGCGGAGATCATTTGTTGCATACCTTGAGCGAACCGCCTCTTCGAGCACTTTGCGGGGAGATACTCCGCTTGCCTTGCCAAAATCACGTATAGTCACATCAGCAGAACCTGCGCCATTGGGCGTAGTTTCCAATTTCGATGGTGAGTCAGGAACTGCAGAGAACATTTCACCGAGCAAATCCATATCCTCATCGTCTTCACTAGCAACTGGTGGTGCTTCAGCTGCGGGCACCTCGGCTTCAATCGACTTTTGAGGTTGGGTCTCATTATTTTCTTTCTGCTCTTTCGGAACTTGGGGCTGTGTACCGTTCCGCTGCCGTTTCTCGGCTTGGTTCCGGGCGATTTGATTGCGCCTGGCTGGCCACTTTTCCTCAGCTTCGTCTTCATCGAATAAAGTATCCGACTTCAGCTGTTGCAACTGAGAGAGTAACTTTCGAACAGCCGGTGTCTGGGGAGCGACGGGCTCGGGCTTTTTCGACTTTGCGCCTTTCTGTGACTTTCGTGTAGTTGTTTCCACGAGCTGTGGGTCAATCTCATAAAGTTTGCTCTTGATCTTGAGATATGTGGGGACGAGGTCCTCGCTTTCAATGTCGCTGTCGATATCGCTGACGTGGATATCACTTTGGTCGTTTTCGACAGGCGTAGAGCCATTAGCTTTTGCAGGCGTTGAGGCTCCTGGTGTGGCTGCGGTCTTTGCCAACGCCTCACGGGGTGGTGTAACTATTTATGGTTAGCGAGGTGCACTAAAGTGTACATGGAGGTGGACGACTTACCAGGCCGCGAAGGAGGAGCGTCGAGAGCTGCGCGTTTGGGCGGCGACTCTTCATATGAAAAATTGAAATCTTCACACTGGTCGAGTGCAAGCCATTCCAAGGCTTCTTGAAAACCCCATATACCAGATGACGCATCGACACCTGCGGCGTTGGCGCAGAGCCATGTTAAGACAGGTTCGATGTGACTGTCTGCGAAGCCAAGTTCACGGAGGGTCAAATCAAGCGTCCATAGTTTGAAAATGGCATCGTCTTCGGTCAATGTTTTCAGAAAAGACTGTTGGCCCTGCCTCCTGTTTGAATCATTGGACTCTGCTTGTGCTAAGAGTATGATGCTGTCCAGGATCTCTCCGGGCAGCCATTCATGAACGGCGATAGAGTAAGACTGGCTGCGCAGAAGCCTGCGGTCGGTCTGGAAGCGTGTAACATGACGACTGGATTCGCGGCGGACTTTGGCAGCATGCTTTTCAACTAACAATTGAAGCTCATCGCGCTCGAGTTGGGCCTCGAGCTCTTCGGGAGTTTGTGCAACTTCCTCTTTTGGCAATGTAGCCTGCTGGGGTACCTGAGATACCGGCTCTGGTACTGCTTGGCTTTCTTTTGACTGCGCTTGAGAAACTTCTCTAGCTGGGGCGTCAGCGACAGACCTATCGGGTTTAGGTTTGCTGGCCACAGATGTGGTTGCAAAGCCACGCGCAGGATTGCCGGCTGGCTTCTTCTTTTTGGCCATGGGAAAGGCTGGGGCGAATATCCTCTTTTCTCTTTTTGGCTAATTGATACGATTCCGGGGTGCTAAGTAAGGTGAGGGGCAGGGATGTAGTTCAAGCGGGCTGCCGTATAGAATACCTCGGAGCCTGATCCCGAGCGAGATCAAGATTGGGCAGGGCTGAGATACAGACGGGACGCATCAGGGCGCTCAGTTGGTGGAGAAGCAGCAGCAGCTAGGCGGCGAGCGGCAGGGAGACGAGGCCAGTGGTGGGGGTTTGGTGATGGCAAGGCGATCCACATGGCCCTGTGCCCTGACACTGAGCACTGAGCGCCGAGCAGCGATGTCATGGTAGTCCGTCGCAGGTGGGCAAATAGACGAGAAATCTTGGCATTATCATTTCGCGATTGTTGCTCCTCACCACCCACCCCGCCGACCTCCCCGCATCCGCATTTGGCCTTTGCGTATGGACTGGACGACATGGCTGTGAATGGGGATGCTGAAGCCCAGGCCCTGGACCGCGACAGACTGTGGCAGAAGCTCATCACGAGCTCCACCAAGCGCCGCATCCACGAGCTGTCGGGCCTGCAGCAACAGGTCGCAGATGACTGTGAGTGCCTGGACGCCCCAATGCACCCACCCACACATGCATATATGTATATACATATGTGTATGAATGTATACGACCAGCAATAGACTGACGAGACCCTGTCCTGTGCAGCAGCACTGAAGACTGCCGACCTGCAAGCGCTCCTAGAAACACTTTTCGAGACATACCCGCTATACGAGGACCGCGAATCCCGCCGCGCCGTCGAAGGCGTCCTCAGGTCGCTGGTGACGGGCCCACACGGAACAAAGGTGCTGCCGTCTATCGTCAAGTTCCTGCAACAAGAGTGTGCAAAGAAGGGCATTGCCCACTCCAATGCCTTTGTGCTCAACGACTGGTGCTCGGTGCTGCTTCTGCAACTCGCAAAGTCACCCGATGCTTGGGCAACCCACGGACTGAACGTCGCCCTCGCCGATGCGCGCGCAATAGAGTTGTGTGTGGGCACAGGCAGCGATCGCCGGGCTAGCCGCCTCGCACACTCTGCCCTCGTCTCTACTAGACGAGCTCTGCGCGCTGTCTTCCGCTCAGAGGCAATCGCCCAAGACGCTCTCTCCAAACTTGTCACTACCCTCACCGCAAAGGGCTCTGCTCCCACGGCTGGAAATGCCGTCTTCCTCGGTGTCATCGCAGGCGTCTCGTCTCGCCTGCCAACCATCAAGCCGCTCCTCGAAAATCACAAGCAAGATTACTATGCCTTCTACACAAGAGAAATTATTGGCTCGAGAAGCCAACTCCCACACCACATCTCCAACGCCCTGCACGATTTCTTCGACACCTTCCCTACCTTGGACGAGCTGCGCACCAATGTCTTCCAACCCATTGAAAAGGCTCTCCTGAGAGCACCTGAAGTGGTGCTCAACGACATCGTCTCGCCCATGATCCTCGCCCTGCCCGAGTCCATGGACCTCTCAGAAATTCTCCTCAGCAACATGCTGAAGCCGCTGCTGGCTAACGTCAAATCTACCAACCCGATTATTCGAGCTGGCGCCCTGCGCACCTTCAAGGCCCTTGCCTCACGATCAAAGGATAGCGACAAGATTGACAAAGTAGCAGACGAAGTGCTGAATCCTCTCAAACAGGGCAAGGTGTCGGGTGCTGACCAGAAGGTCCTGCACGCTCAGATGCTTACGGCGTTACCCGAGTCTCCCTCACTGTCCAAGAAAATTCCCGTAGGCATCGCAGCCGTTGCCTTGAAGGAGGCAAGTGAGCCAGCTGTGCTTGCAGAAGTGTCAGCAATGACAACCCATCTGAACTTCGGTCTAGCCAACGGTGTTGCCCTCGACAAGGCGGTATCCGATGCCTTTATCAAAGGCATGGGAGACAAGCGCGTTCCTGTCAAGCGGCTCTGGGCCGTCCGTGCAGCGGATATTTGGTGGAATTTGTCTGAAGAGCAGCAGAGCCAACCAGATGTACTTGCCTTCTGCCAAGCCACGCTTCCAAAGCTCGTTGAGCTCTGGCAAGATGTCAATACCAATCCACTTCCAGCAGCCCAAAGTGGCTTAGCCACAGTAGGACACTACGTTGCGGCGCTTCTCATTGATAGAGTCCAGAACATGAAGGATGAGAAACTAACATCCATCTTCAAAAAATCCGATGTCATCTCACAATCTCTCGCCACGCAGCCCAAGCCTTCCTTCATCCTCAACCCGAAAGTGTACTCGAAACTATCCGCTGAGGAAGATGTCTCGATTGCATTACTTGCACTGAACGCCGTTGCACCAAGTGTCACACAATCTTCCTCCAAGGATGTTCGCGATTCATGGGCACAGGCGTATATATTCCTCATCGTATCGCAGAGCATCTCTGCTAAAGCAAAGTCGGCTGTTAAACAAGCACTGACGCAAGTCTACCTCCAAACATCCCCAGAGAAGATCAGCAGCATCATCATAGATGGAATCTGGACATGGTACAAGTCAAATGAGCTTGAGGACAAGGACAGCGCTGCACTGGCATCCAAAACAGGCTCTAACGAGCTTGGGGCAGTTCTAGCCTGTATTTGCCTACCCCCAGATACGATAAAGAAACAGGGTGTAAGCATCGAGCCTTCGACCCTGCACAAACAGGCGAGAGACCTTGTTGTTCTGGCCAGAAAGGAAGTCATTCCTCGAGTATCTTGGATCGAGCTGTGTCTGCGCATGGGCGTTGATCCCGGTGATGTAGTTCGGAACAATCTGGAAGACTTTATGCAGACTGTCAATGAGTCTACAGAGGTATGTAGACCTATGAAATCCCAGAAAGTCTTATTGCTAACGTACTTGGAAGAACAAGGACAATGACCGATTTCCAGCAATTGGCTTGGCAGCCTATAGTGCATACTCTGACATGGCTTTCGTTGCTCCAGATGCTGCCTTGCCCGCCGTAGTCAAGCAATTCAGTCAAGATCTGGATCCAAAGCAGCTGGAAGCCGTTGGTCCGACCGAAGCTGCCATTTTCCGTACTCCTGAAGGCACGGCTTATATCGATGTCCTGTCCAAGAAGGCGCCTGTTGTGATAGACAAGAATACCAAGGACTACGATACTCTGAAGTGGGAAGAGGAGCTCCGAGCACAACTGGCGCAAAAGAAGGGTCAGACTAAGAAACTTACTGCAGATGAGCAAGCCAAGGTCAATGCTCAGCTGGCTAAAGAATCAGCCATTAGGAAGGAAGTTTCTGGTATTGAGCAAAGAATGAAGCGAGGAGTGGGCATTATCCAGAGCCTTGCAACTGGCCCCCCTACCGATGCAGATCAGTGGATGGGTCCGGCCGTGGATCTCTTGATTCAAGCTGTGCGCGCTGGCGCTGGACTTCTCCTAGGAGATGTCCCGGCAACTGCTTTGATCGCTTGTTCTGAAAAGATTTCTAGCCGTTTGGGTCCACTGAGACCATTTGTTGGCGTGGCTGTACTTCGAACAATTGGCTCCATACAACTCGCGAAAGAGTACGAGGATGAAGACCTTGGTGGTAAGTTGAATTACGCCCCGTTTGACCGTATGCTCATACATGCTAATGCTATCAGACCTTGTGACACGCGTCATGTACCGCATTCGTTTCTTGAGTGAACAAAGACCATTGGACGCTGTATCTCTCGCCTACTGCTTACCCCTCATCTTCTTAGTCTTGGAAAAGGGTGGCATAGGCAAATCCTCGCCTGAGGAAGTTGATGAACAGCTTATCCTCGCCATCGAAATTCTTACATTCCATACAAACTCTTGTAAGTGTCTTATTACAAATGCTCAGACCAGGAACTAATTAATTACAGGTACTGACCCCCGTCTTCCACGCAAGAACATGTTAGAGATTCTTGTGTGGTCAATGCAACGGTACCAGCAACACTACAAGTTGATCAAGGATTGTCTTTTGGATCTTGCTCGTGGTCTGGCTCCGAACATTACCAACGACGAGCTGACAGCCCTGCTTCGTGGAACCATTGTCCCGGAGACCGGTGTCCGAACAGCGACTCTTCAAGCCATAGATGCTGAGCTAGACATGAACGGCATGACCTTCAGCGAAGAAATATTCATTGCTTGTCATGACGATGTACCGGAAAACGCGGAACTTGCACAGACAATCTGGGAGGAGAATGATCTCGAATTGAAGCCAGACGCGGGTGTACAGATGCTACCATATCTCGATTCACTGGACAAACCACTCAGACGAGCTGCTGCTCGATCTATCGGCGAGATCATAACCAAATACCCAGATACATTCGACGACCTTTTGAAGAGGCTTCGCGAGTCATATACGGAAAAGGCTAAGCCGCGGGTTCCTGAGCGTGATGAGTATGGTATGCCCCGAAAGGTTGATCTACGAGATCCTTGGGAGAGCAGAGATGGCATTGCACTCACCTTCAAGGAAATGACTCCGGGATTTAAGCCTGATGACCTCCCTGAGTTCTTCAACTTTTTGATTTATGAGGGCCCTCTGGGAGATCGAAGCCCCGCAGTCCGAGACGAATTGATAGAAGCAGCAACATCAGTCATCTCAGCGAAGGCGCAGACCAAGGTTGAGCCATTGATGGAACTTTTCGAGAACGCGCTCGAAGCACCTGATCGCAAATCCGAGATGTATGATCAAGTCAACGAAGCAGTCGTCATTCTTTACGGTGCACTCGGTCGTCATTTGGCTGCTGGAGATGAGCGAGTTCCAAAGGTCGTGCAAAGGTTGTTGTCGACCCTCAGTACACCTTCAGAGACAGTGCAATATGCCGTCGCGCAATGTCTCCCGCCTTTGGTTCTCACATCGGAGCAGGAGCTTTCTACATACATCAACCAGATGATGGAGCAGTTACTACAATCCAAGAAGTATGCCTCAAGGCGCGGTGCTGCTTATGGACTTGCAGGCATCGTCCGAGGAAAGGGCTTGATCGTACTCAAAGAATACCGCATCATGTCTACGCTCAAGGGAGCTAGCGAAAACAAGAAGGACCCCAACCAGAGG